CCATTTTCTTTTTATGATATATTTGGCAGCTCCAGAAAGAAGCAGCTGTTAATTTTCAAAAGGAAATTTAACCAGATAATTTTCCAACAAACTTTGCATAATAAGTATCCCATACAACTTAAATAGAGCACAACAGTTTCAAAGAATAAGTTGGTTACTATACAGTCTGTTTAGAAAGCAGGAGCAATCAAATCCCCATGCCTAGTCTCAGTGAGTGGAGTTTTTATGTTCCAGTGTTACTGTCACACTCAGATTCATGGTCTGCCATCCTCAAAACCAATAATGGTTAATTATTTTTTCTCTACAAGAAAGGCAGATAGAATTTTTCTTCTTCTATTAAGTACTTGGAAACATTTAAAGATATCATTTTTAAATTTTTTAAATGCTTAAATTATATAAGTGTCTTACTTATGATTATGTTATTCTTTAATATAAGAAAAAATTTTCAAAGCCTTATCCTAAAATAAAGAGTAGAAAGAAAATTAACTGTAAACCATTTATGATTTATAGGAATGTATTGGAGTTCTTCAAGGGAATAGAACAGATAGATATTTATACAGTTACGCCACTGTTTGTCTAAATGGACCACATATGACTGTGGTCCCATAAGCTTATGATAGAGCTGAAACATTCCTATTGCCTCATGCCATGTAGCTGGTGATACTGGTATAAACTGCTATTCTCAGTCATTTAAAAGTACAGTTATGTACCATGCATAAGTCTTGATAATGATAATAAATGACAATTATCTTGATTTGTGTATTTGCTGTACTATACTTTTTATCATTACTTTTAGTGTTTACTCCTGTTTATTAAAAAAATAGCTACTGTAAAATATTGTGCCATTGTACATGAGAAGCAGCCTCACACATCTTAAGTTAACTGAGTCTCTTGATTATATCAGTTATCATATGCTTGATTTGATCTCTTGTTTTGTTCATCATAGTTCCTAATTGTATAAAGTCTATGAGAATTGCCAGTACAGCACCACATCAAGTGATTGACCTGAAAATGAAATTAAAAGTGATTAAGGATTACTAAGGTGGAAAATCAGTAGTTATCATTTGCCAGCCAGGCATGTCCCATTCCACCATAGCTACAATCCTGAAGGACAAGAACAAAATGACGAAAGCTGTTAAAGGATCTGCTTCATTGAAGATACCAACACTAATGAAAATTTGAGAAGGGCCTACATCAGACATGGAGAAAGTTGATAGATTAAAGATCAGACAGGCATATCCCTCTCAGCTCCATGATGATCACAGGCAAAGCAAAAGTTTGTTTGCAATTGTGAGAGAAAGGACTGGACCTGACTACAATGTTGAATTTACTGCCAGCTCGGGAGAGCTAAATGATTTAAGAATTTTTATTCATTACATAATGTGGAAGTGAGTAATGAATCTGTGGGAGCAGATGTTCAACAGCTGAACTTTTGGAAACTCTAGAGAAGCTGACTGTGGAGGAAAATTCTATGCCAGAGCAGACATTCAGGATGGATGTAACCCTCAGGAATAGTATATCTGAAAGGACTTCATCCATGAAGAGGCCAAGCCAGTGCCAGTWTTCAAGGATTTGAAGAACAGGATAACAGTCTTGCTTGGGGCAGTTTTGCCAGCTACAAATTGAGACCCTTTGTGATATGGCAGAGTAAGAACCTCAGGGCCTCCAAGCATACCACAAGCACACAGGCAGTGAGAAGTCATAGATGGCCCTCTTCCAAGATGCCCCCTGAATTGCTGGGTTAATAAAATGGAGAAGCACTGTTATTTTCAAGAAAATAAAAAGCTTTTTAAGATATTGCTTATGGTACATAATCTTCTCTTGCCATCATCCAATGTCACAGCAGTGTTTCTGTCTTAAAACTCCACCTCCTGGATCCAACCAAAGGATCAAGAAGTAATAGATCAGCTTTTAACCTCTTCTGCCTGTGAAAAACCTTAGCTCAGGCTGCTGCCGTAGTTGAAGAAGACCTGATGCAATTCTGGATTGTTATAAGATAACTGCACCAAAATGTTGCTTAGTATTGGTGATGTCACCTAGGAGATGTCAAACAGCTTTAACCTGTGTGGGGGTGAAGATGACAGGACCTCTTAGAGGTGGTACCTGAGTGTGGTGATTTGCGTGTGGTTTGTCTTTGCCAAACTCATGTTAAGGCGTAATTCCCCAGTATAATAGTATCGAAAGGGATAGGTCTAGTGGGAGATGGTTGGGTCATGACTACCCTCACGAAAGGAATAATGCTAGTCTCACAAGGTGGATTTAGAAAAGTCCAAACCTGGTCCCTTCTCAGTCACTTGCTTCCTCTCTTGCCATGTAACCTTTCTCCACCTGTACCTGCTTTTCTGCCATGTTGTGACAGAGCCAAGTGCCCTTACCAGATACCAGAACTATACTGATTGGATTTTCCAGTCACCAGAATTATAAGCCAAATAAACCTCTTTTCTTTATACATTACCCAGTATCAGCATCACAAAGGAGACAATGACACTAAATAAATGATGATGAATTGTTGGAAGTGGAATAGGCAAGAGAAAAGGAAACTACAGAAGAAGTAAAAGAAGACCGCCAAGTAAATTCACAGTGAAGGGTTTAGCAGAAAATTTTACTGAACTCAACAAGCTCTCCTTACAAAGTTTGAAAACATGGCCCCAACACTGAAAAGTTTTCATTAATAGAATTGTTCATGGAGCATTACTGTTCACAGGTGAATCTATGGTGTAAAAAGATAAGCAAACCATAATGAACATATATCTGAAGAGTAGCACTGCCCCAAGAGGAATCTCAGGCTGGTCCTTCTGGAGGGATTCCAGAAGAAGGTGTAGTTCTATTAGAAAGTGACAGTGTTATAGGAGATATTGCTCCGAAGACCTTGCAGTGGGTCAAGGTGTGGAGATGAACACAGTGGTATTGATCCTGACCCTGGGGCCTAGGCTAATGTGCACACTTGTAGTCTTAGTGTTTAATGAAGACGTTTTAAAAGGAAAAGTTAAAAATATAAGAAAGCTTATAGAACAAAGATATAAAGAAAAAAAATTTGTACAGAAGAGTCAATATTTTAAATAGGGTTGGGGATGAAGCTAAGTGGTAGAATATGTGCATAGCATGCACAAGGCCCTTGTTTCAATCCCTAGTTCATGCACACATCAATTTTTTTTTTAAGTCAAAAAATCAAGTTTATAAAGTGAAAATGTTACAGCAAGCTAAGGTTAATACAGAAACTATTTAATTTTGGTACGTTCACACAATTGAAATCACCTACTAAAGTGTTTTTCAGCATGTATGCCCATTGTTAAACAATTCATGACTGTATTTATAACAAGATTTATTGCAAGGAATTAGTTTGTATGTTTATGGAAGCTTGGCAAGTTCAAATTCTGTAGGTGGGCTGGTAGGCTGGACTCAGGAGAGTAAATGGTGCAGTTCTAGCATGAATGCCAGCAGCCTGGGAACCCAGAGGAACCATTTGTGCAGATGAAGTTCTAAAACAGCCTTCTAGAGAATTCCCTCTTGATGGGGAGGTTAGTGTTTTTGTTCTACTCAGGCTTCAGGTGATTGGATGAGGCCCACCAACTTTMTGGAAGGTAATCTACTTTACCCAAAGTTCACTGATTTAAATGTTGCTATTATCCAATAACTCAGTCCAGGTTGACCCATAAAATTAACTATTCCAGAGAACATTTTTAATATTGCTGAAAATTCATATTTTTCTTTTTGCTGAATCGTTTCTATTCAGTACTGCCCATCAAATAAGCAACAAGAGCCCTGCCTTGGTTCCTTCTTTTTTAGAGTCCTGCTTTGGCACTAATTCAGTCACATCCCTTTCCTCGGAGCAAGAAGACCAAAGGGTCAAAGTTAGAGATTCACCAGGAGCCTTTTTCCAGGGCCTCATGGAAATCAGGTTGCACAACTCCCTAGATCCATACTCCTGACGGTGCCCACTCTTGCTTCTACTGGGGCCAGAATTGGGTGGTCATTGGAGGCAGGAAGTGCATATAGATGTGTGGCTGTTGTTTTTGCTCATGTTTGGGTGAGGACTTAACAATGCAGAAAAGAGTGTGGTATAGGAAGAGAAGTAGGGCAGGACCAGGGCCATGTGCCTCTTTCTTTATCCACCACATTCCAGCACATGCCTCTGAGGTCCCCAGAATGCTAAAAGAGAGGTTAGAACAAAGATATTTATCAGAATAGTTGTATAGGACATATTTTATATTTTATTCATCATTTCATTTCATTATTGTAACTTGAAAATATTTATATGTATGGTATATAGTCTTCCATTTTTACCTCTGCCAAGACCCTTCATGTTGAGAGTAGAGAAATTTGGAGGATTAGAAGTAGATTATTATTTGCAATTATTAAATTTTTTGACTTGGGCAGAGATTACATAGATGTTCACTCTATTGATTCATTAAACTAAATACAGAAGCTTTGTGCTGCCTTCCCAATAGAATGTTAAAAATGAAAACAAAACAATGTTGTTCATAATTAGGGGGTAAAAATCTTGTTTCTTAGAAAAACCTTTTTTCAAACTTGTCTACCACAGATTACATAATCTCTGTTATAAGACTCTGGGCTCAGCCATCAAAATAAACAGAAAAGGTGATTTAAAAACTCTAGAAGATAGCAAAATGTATATTTACACACATTATATTATAGCTGTATTATGTACATGCACCTATATTTGAATGTGTGTTTGATATTTTGAAAGAAAATCTCTTCATATTTTCAGTTACAAGACCCTTAATAGTTCTCATAGGTTATTGATAGAAAATATCTTCCAGCATGCTTTTTATATTTGCCTCTACATCTCTGGTTTGTTTGTCGGAGATAATGAGCAATGATAATAAAATACAAAAAAAAAAAAAGAGGGGAATTTTTTTAGGTTAGGAAACAGTTGTATATGTCAATTTTGTTCTACAATTTCATGAAAATATTTTAGTTCTGGATTCGTCTTCCACACATAAATATTCATTATAACAGACTGTGTTCTTATCTTTCAGGTCTTAACATCTTCGTCAAATAAAGAAAGTAATATAGACGGTATAGTATATTTTGTTTCTTGAGTAACATATATGAATTTATTTGTTTACAGTAGAAGAAACCAAAAAATTAAGTTAAATTAATTAAAAAATTATATAAACTAAGAAAACTATTTTCCAAAGAACATTTGAGTTTTTAAATAAAATATCATTTTCTAATTTCTGAAAATGAGAAAAACATTACTTTTAGGATAGAAAATGGTTTGATTGTGCAGTGGCTGTTTTTGCTTTGTTTTGTTTTTGTTAAAGTAATGAGATTCCAGCTAGTTCTTATAATAAGACACTCCAGGTATCTGATTCTGGAAGATTCCTTTATTATCTCTCATCATTTTAATATATAACTCATTTTAACTAAAGCTCTTAAAACTTATAATAGGATTGAAAATAAATACCATATTTTTTTTATTACCTTTACTTGAAACTGTTTTGAGAAACAAGTAAGGATATTCTATGGTAAAAATTCAACATGGGAGCATGTGCACATAATGATTTAATCTTTCAAAATATTGCAAGGCTTTTGGCCTTTTAATATAAAATACAAGAGTCCCTTTCACTTTACAAATTTGGAGGGGAAAATGAGAACTATTTACTATGTGTTGAGTTGCAAGATGTTTAGAAAGGAGTAAAATCCTAGATATGATTGCATGGGAAGGCAAGATGTGTTCCTTATATGCTAAATTAACAGATTGTTTCTTGCAATACTATCTCATTTGGGGAATTGGGTGGAACTGTAAAATTGGAATTTTACAGTAAAAGGTTTTCCTAGACCCTTCTTGTTGTAACTAGGATACTAACTTCTATTTTGTTCATTAGAAATGAAAATGACTCTCAAAGGGGTAGGAAATAAGTTGGTAAGGCTCTCGAATTTTTAATGTAGTTTTATATGAGGCGTGAGTTAAATGAAAGAGAACAGAGGACAAGAGTTCAGAGGGGGAAGTGGCTTTAATTAGAGAAACATAACATACTACAAATGTGACTCTTTTCATCTGCTTAAATGTCTCCTAAAGGTCTGAATTAAATGTCTTATGCTTTCCTTCCTCCCTTCCCACCCCCACTCCTCTTCACCTCTTCCTTACACCCTTCTCCCCCCATGTTAAACACAGACCAAGTATGGCACTTCCTTGGCAAGTGATTTCAACGTTTGAAGTTCTGCCATCAAGATTTCAACTTCTACGGGACTCCGAGACTCATTTTCCCTTAGTGCTGGAGACAGGCAGGCCTATGAACATTTGCTGACTTTCTGTTGAATCTTCAATTGTTTTCAATAACGTAATATGTAAATAAACACTGAAATTTTTGAATTTGTCTCTTTTTGCATATTTATTGATACAAAGGGAAAAGATTTGGTTTAATAGCAAACATTTATAAACATTGCGTTTTGGCCAGTTTTAATTTTTATTCATGAAGGAACACAATTATTTTATTAGCATTTTTGTCTATATGGTAAAGGTGAAAATCACAAATTTAATAAGTCAATAAAATTTTTACTGATCCTATTCATACTGTATTACTCTTTTCAAGTTCATTGCTAGTAAAGCTTTTGTTTAGGCAACTTCTGTCCTCTCTTATTAGTGATTGTGTAAATATGTCACATTTTTAGGCTTTTCTATAATTTATGATTATGGAGATCATGATCTTTTTTTGATTCTCATTCTTTCCCATTCTTTCAGTTCTCATCTCTACAGTGRTGACTTCCAACTCTGCATAGGAAGCCCAGATCTGTCTCCTGGGCTTTGTCTATTGGACAGCTCTAAATGCCTTTGACCCTTCTTGTCTAAAACTTAACTCATCTTCTCTTGTCTCGAACAATGGAATTACCATTCTCCTAGTTCCCTTCTTGAAATCCTGTTGAATCCCTCTTTACTCATGAAAACACATTAGTTTCTTTCTTTGCCATTCTTATTCCTTTATACCCTTACTCTGCTGGAGTTTTCCCTTTATTTCACTGCACTCTTGTAACAGCCTCCTATCTCTTCTCTGTGCCTCTCAGATCCAGCCTTTCCACCTCTTTCCCAATTGCTCTAGTTCAATTTCATGCTCTCTTGTATCTTCACCAAGTGGTTGTCCTGCCTCCAACTTGATTCCCTCCATTCCATTCTCCACATACTACACAGTGATTTTCCTGAAACATACATCTTTTTGTTGTTGTTGTTGTTCTAATTAGTTATACATGATAGCAGAATGCATTTCAATTCGTTATACACAAATGGAGTACAACTTTTCATTTTTCCATTTACATGAGTCGCACCATTTGTGCAATTGTACATGTACCTAGGGTAATGATGTCCTTCTCATTCCACCATCTTTCCTTTTCACCATTCTTTTTGACCCATACCTCTTCCTCTCCCTCCCCTTTGCCCAATTCAGAGTTCCTCCATTCTTCCCATGCCTGCTCCCCAATCATGGATCAGCATCCATTTGTCAAAGAGAATGTTTGACCTTTGATTTTTTGGTATTGCCACTAAGCATGATATATTCTCCACCTCCATCCATTTACCTGCAATACCATCATTTTAGTCTCTTTTAATGCTGAGTAATATTCCATTGTGTATATGTACCACATAAAACATACATCTTATTATGTTTTTCTTATAATGCTTTCAGTGTTATCGTATATTCTTGAAAATAAAAATCGGATTATTTTCCCCAGAAACCCATCTTCTAACTGTGCCATGCTACTCACCCCTCTGTAAACACGTTATATTCCCAGCACTTCTGCTCTTCCCTTGCCAATTTTGTTCATGACTCTTGTCCCTTTTTCTATTATCACTATCAATACTGCATTTACTAATATATTTTTATGGTTCACAAAGCACTGTTATGATGATACTTTCCATTTAATGCAGAGTACCTATTGTGCAAAAGGTACTATTTTAAATACCACATGTGCATATATCCTCTAAGGTAGATGTTGCCCATTTCAAAGTTGGGGCTCTGAGAAGTTTTATAATTTGTCCAACGTCACACAATGACTAAATTTCAGAAATGTAATTAGAACTTCTTGACTCCCTGGCTCTGAATCTCACCGTTTTTCCAACCTGCTGTGTATACTGCATCTCATACCTGATGTACAGATGAGGATATAGGCTGCGAGAGTTTAATGACTATCCCAAGAGTAAATAGCAATGTTTTCTTTGAAATTACATGAACCTCTTTGAGGGACAAGAAAGATTATAATGGGAGTGTGTGTGTGTGTATATATATATATAGTTTTTTTATTAACATACTGACTTTAAATTGTGCAAATAAAACTTATGTAAATAGAGGACATCTACCATTGTAATAAAAAATGAGCTGAATTATCAAGGGATAGATTGATGGATTTATGCATGTGGCTTATTGGTCTCCCAAGAGTGGAAGAGAGAAATCATGTCTTATGGGCCTTACATGAGGCAACTCATACTTCATATTCGATCTTTGCCTCCTCTTTTCCAAGCAGTGAATAATAAAATGCTACCTAGTTCATCAGCCTTGCTGAAAAGATGAGTCCATCCCTCTGCAGTACCCCAGTTATTAACAATTGACTTCAAAGTTTGTGGGTTTTCATAATTATAATCTTAATAAATATAGAATTTTGAATTCAATGATTGCAAACATCTTTCCACATTACTATATAGTTTCCCCCCCCCCACTGCTGGAGATCTAACCCAGGGCCTCATACGTGGTAGGCAAGTAGTCTACCACTAAGCTGAACCCCCAGTCATCATTATTATAATAGTGACAATTTACATTTCATGAATGGGTCTTTTATGATTGTTTCAGAATGTTTTTCAGACTAGCTAATCTTTGCCAGCAGAATCCCTTGGAACAATAAATTGAATGGGCTTTATATTAAATACTTAAAAAGGAAAACCACTGGGAAATAATAGAGCCAGTCATTGCTAGAACTCCCTAAGAGAGACTGCAAAACCAAAACTGACCCCTGGATGGGTTCCACCATCCAGGTAACACCCACAGCCAGTTCCCATGTCTGTGAAAAGCCAAAGGACTGAACTATTCAAGATTGATTTTTCTTGAACTTGCTATTATTTCAAATATCTAATAAATGTATGAGCTTTTGTTTTTTTTTCACATAGATAGAATCACACAAGATATATTTAGTATCGCTCTATCATTCTTTAAGGGAGCACATTGAATTTCATAAAATCCATTCCTCCATCAATGACTGTGTGCACTTTTAGTATTTTATATACTCATTAATAACATTTGATGACTAATTCCCAAGAATCTGTTGCTGCTCATTTGTTACTACCTTATTATTATCATGTAGTACATTACATCTTTAAGTTTTGGTTAGTCTCTCATTTTCATCCTTCTTTCTACATTCTGTCTGAGGTGTATTTGAGGGTTGCCAGTGGGCCCTGTGAAATTCTTCATCAGAACCRCCTAGAATACTCAAAGTACAGATTTGTAGTGTTCTCTAAACAGCTACGAAATGAGAATTTCTGAGGTAGGTCACAAAGACACTTTCCTACCCCCATGAGTTATGAATTAGAGTTCTAAGCCCTTRGAGTTAGATTCATAGGATAGCTCACATTGCAAGTTTTTCAATGTTAATGTTCTATTTTGATTATCTTCCTCTAAGAAGAGATAAGGAAAATCAGATGTCTGCCTGTCATATGGACACATACATAGACTGTTATTATTACCTCCTGTTAGAAAAAAAAAGGGGGAAATAAAAATTATATTAAGCTTAGTATTCAACATTATATGTGTTTTGGGTATAACAAAAAATTTACTATACATAGTAAGAATAAGTATTTCTGATCTGGGGATGTGGCTCAAGTGGTAGCATGCTTGCCTGGCATGTGAGGGTCGCTGGATTCGACCCTCAGCACCACATACAAATAAAGATGTGTCCACCGAAAACTAAAAAATAAATATTAAAAAATTTTCTCTCAAAAAAAAAAGAATAAGTATTTCTAAGAAAACTACTGGATAACACTGTTAATTAAGCCCATAGTAATTGGACTCCCCATCCGCCACACACTTGGGCTTCCTAACCCCCAAAGAGAGGGAAGCCTGGGAAGCCTTGTGACAGTGAAAAGGTGGAGCTATCCTGCAAGTTCTGGAGGGAACAATGATGGGCACAGAAGATAGAAGAGCTTTGTAAAATATGTGGGAACTAGCCACAGATCAGGGTTTCTGTGACTGACCTGACATCTGCTCTGTTCAGAAGACAGTTGAGACCAAACTCTACTTTTCAGGTTATTCCTTCAGTGAAAGAAGCTAGGAGCCCAGTGTTGCCAGACATAAGCTGTTCTTTGTATCAGTCCAAAATATTTATTGAGCTCTCTTGTGCATCTGTCAGTCATTCCTGAATGCCAGAACTCTCAAAGGATCCTGGTTCACCCTGAGAGGGAGGAWGCCACAGCTTCCTCTTTGATGTTCAAAATGCCCAGTACATAAGGCTCTCCCCCCTTGTAAAATAGCTGGTCGCAAAAGATTGAATCCCACTGCATTGACTTCAGTTAGCCAGCCCTCTGTTTTTATACATGCTTCCTCGTTAAAATTTATTCAACCATTATTTATTGACTGCCTCTATGAATGTGCCAGAAGTATTCCAAGTTTCCAGGATGCATCTGTATCCTGAAACAGAAAGTCTCTGCTTTTGTGGAACTTGCATTGTGTGAAAAAGACAGAACATAAACATAGTAAATTTATATAATATGTAAAAGAAGAAGACTAGGATACAGAGGGATTAAGAATCAAGCTGGTTTCAGGGTAGGGGAAGAGAATTTTTTAAAAAAGATTTTTAGACATGGATGGACCTTTAATTTATTTATTCATTTATTTATATGAATAAATATAAACCTATAGCCTCACACATGCTAGGCAAGTGCTCTACCACTGAGCCACAACCCCAGCCTGAGAATCAATTTTTTAAATGGAGTAGGTCAAGGCAGCCCTCATTGGAAAGATGAAAGGTGAGCAAAGGGCTGAAGGGAAACAGGAGTGAGTCTCAGTGGGCCTTGGGGATGAGCCCAGAGGTAGAAATACTAAGAACAAAGTTCCTAGGGTAGGAGTGTATCTAGCTTGTTCAAGGAACAGCCAAGAGGCCTTTGTGGATGGAGTGGAAGGAGTGGGGCAGAGCAGCCCCCATGGGCCTGTAGTCCTCCTGAGGACTTGACCTTTTTTACCCTGGAAAATGAGAAGCTATTAGGAATCTTGAGCAGAGAAGTGGATCACTGTGAAAATTTTTTGTGCTGGGCTTGTGGCACTAGGATGAAAACTAGAAAATCATTTACAAAGTTTCTACAGTAACCCAATAAACTTGTAAAGACTATTTCCTTCTTAGAGAATCTTCTTAGTAT